GTTCCATTCCCCCCCCCCCGGCCTTCACCTCTCTATCTAAGGAAAAGGCATATATTCTTGTTTGTTTCCAAGGGTTTTTTAAAGTAAAAAATAAAAGAAGTCATTTTCATACAGAAGCATCCAGAGTCACATCTATAAAGGCTTGAGTGCACATATGTGATAATAAATGCCAAAGAAGGAGCAGATTTGCCTAGAATCATTTAGAACTAGGAATAAATCAGTAGTTAAGTATTGTGATAACTCATTTAGGCTCACACAGACAGAATTATTTCACATTTAACAGCTTCACTTGTTTTCGGCTTGCAAGTTTTGTTGGATTAACTATTGCAATAAATTGAATAAACCTTTAAAAACAGGTTAAAATCCTCCTCGCCCTGGTAAATCCTATCAGGTTACTGAGCAAAATCATATGGGTGAGGCTTGTAAGCAAAATGGATTGTTTCATAGTTAAAATGCTACTCTCTGCTCCTTGAAGGAAAGATGGGGTAAAGAAAAATAAATAAGACCAATTATCTTTATCACCATTTGAATTTGCAGGAGGCCAGCATGGACTAAAATGCCCTTCTAACATATATAATAGGAACTGGATGCATCATTCCATTGGATGTGATCTTTTAATGCTTCTGAACCCGAACTGAAGCAATTGAGTAATTTTATTTACTTTGTCTCATTTGCCAGTTTCCAACCGAAAGTGTATATGCATTTCTTTAGCGGCTTTGCAGTGGTAATATACAGTGTGGCCGCAGCTTCCTCAATGAGCACTAGTCAAATGCAGCAATTGCTAGAGTTGGGAAGCAATTGCTGCATTTGACTAGTGCCCGTTGAGATCACTTTGATGACTGATTGTTTGAAATTGTACAAGATTTTTCATATGTAAAATGGTTATCTCTACATCATTCAGAGAAAGAATATAACGAGTTGTGTTAAGAATACTTACTTCTGAGGAAGTTGAATTTACGAAGAGAAGAATCTGGAGCCTTCGTTATTTTGGCTACCTTTTTGTACTTACCTGAAATTGTTATTTACCTGTACTTACATGTTATTTACTGAAATTATTCACTGTTATATTGTCCTTCTTATGCAGTTGTATGTCATAAATATTGTGCAAATCTATATGCTATAGCGTTTCCCTGGCTTTTTTTCTTCTGTTTTGATAATTGTTAATATAAGCTGGGAGGTCTCCTTCTTTGTATCACATTTCTTGCTGAAGCATAAGCTAATCAATCAAAAGTATTTGCTAATCATTGTTCTGAGTCAATTGTAGCGGCCTGCATGCTCACGTATGTGTTATGTAGCCCTTAACGCTGTTTCTTGTACTCTGAATGTAAGATCATGCCAGAAATATGGAAAACTGTGCATTATCTTCTCCACAACTTAATCCTCTGATTTTTCAAAATGGCCAACATTATTATGAGTCCATTCAGATTGCTAGCGGGCTTGTGATGACCACTGGAAACAGATGGCTACAGCAGCTTCCAGTTCTACTTACAGTTTTTATACAGAATTTTACATCTGTATTTGAATGCCGATGTGGATGTAAATTGGTTTCAAACACTGCTTTTTAAGCCAAAGAAACAAACAGCAGCTCTGGGATCACACCCTACAATCAAATAGGGCACAGATACAGAAATATCCAAATACAAAATGCTTCCAACCAGCAGATTATCTTAGATCCTTTGAGATCTCCAAATATTGAAGAACCTTTACTCTTGCATGCTTTAATGTTCTACCCTTAGCCCTCCTGGAAGGCAGATACATCACGTCCCACTCCCTCAATGGCTCTGCACATATCAAGCAGGAAATGTAGTCTATCAACCATTCCATTGACTGCCCATTCTGCAATGACATTCAATCTCAGTACACAGCCCCAATCCTATCAATTCTACCAGGAAGAACTGAACAACCTTCCTGCAGATTCCTCCCAGGAGATAACAAATAAAGTAGCTGATTTTTGCCTTCAGGCATGTGGGATACACAAGCAGTTGACCATGTCTTAATAATAACCTCCCTGTCTCCATCCCCGCACAATCAGCACCAGCACTCAATCTTATATTTTATTTTATATTTTTATTTCATTTTTTGTCTTTATCCTTATTATTACCGATCTTGTATCAAAATAAACTTTGAACTGAACTATTGCTTTTTAAATTAATAAACTGAATGAAGTGATCCTTCGAGCTAGATCTGTGTGGTGTACAGGTTAAGAGTATTAGATCAGGTCATGGGAGACCTGTATTTAAATAAAGTATTGAATTAAATGTAAAAAACCCAAGTGCCTTGGAGGCGCAGAAGCCTTATGCAGTATCCCTGTTTCTCCACATTTCCCAGTTAAAGGGAAAATGCTGTTCAAACGAATTACAAAAATGATATAACGGCAGTGGTAACAAGATAAATTTTACTTACAAAAACAGAAGCACATCTTATATGACCTATTCATTCATGCAGGTACATTTAACTTACTATGAATAGATCAAAAAGATTAACTTGCTACAGCTCCAAGCCCAAGTAAGGGAGAAGAGAGGTCCTATATAACATGAAACAGAAGACAAACAAGGGCCAAAGAGGCCCATGAGAAGTTGGAGACAACTGCACCCTGAGAGAATTTTCTTAACCCCTTCCCTCCCAGATCCTCTTGCATACAGAGTTACAATATCCAACATTAAGTTCCTTGGATCACCTTGCATCAGTAAGCTCTTTCAGCCTAGCTTACCTCACAAGAATGTTGTGAGGACAACGTGTGGGAGACGAGCCTAGTACTCTGCCCTAAATTCACTGGAAGAAGAGGATGTTAAAACGTACAGTTAGTTAAAAGCAACTTTGTGGTGTCTATTTATTTGACTGTAAAGCAGTTATCATTGGAGGTATTTGAATGAAAAACATGCTGCTCACATTCCATCTATAAGAATAGTGGGAAATGCAAATCACGTTTTTAAAAGGATAGTGGGAAATGTAAACCACGTTCAGCGCAGGAGGAAAAAAGGTTAAGATTCAACTGCGGTTACCAGGCTGCAAAACCAGGATTTAAAAAAATTCGAACGTTAAAAATATATAAATCTAATCGCACAGAGCTCTGCCTGTCAATCACTCGCATACAACCAAAACGCTCTATGCGTTAAATCACACGCAGCCGCATTTTAAACATGATTATTGTTGCTATTATCAGCTTATCACTTATGCCCTTTCCCAAGCGCATCCATTCCTCTTCCGTCATCGTCAACCGGAAATCATCAAATGACCACGTGGGGGCAGCGCGGAGGCCGGCGCTTCCTGGTCACGTGCCGGAAGTCTGTGCTCTGGGTGCGGCGAGTGACTGGAGAGGCTGGACTGGTCCCCTTTTCCCAAAATGGCTTCGTTGCTACAATCCGAGCGGGTCTCCTACTTAGTCCGTGGCGAGAAGGAAATTCGCGCGCCGCTCTCGCAGCTCTATTTCTGCCGTTACTGTAGCGAGCTCCGCTCCCTTGAATGCGTCTCTCATGAGGTAAACAGGGCCCTGGAGGCAAGGGGGGGTGGTGCGGGAGGACCAGGCGACACACCCGGAGTGCCCATTGGCCTTTTCCGGCGTCACTCCTTTCTTCCATCCAATTGGCTTAATTTTTTGCTTGCCGGTGTGGCTCAGATCCGTTCATAATTTTGTCTGATTGGCCCGCAGGGGTGTAAAGAAAGAGGTGGGTGGTTCTTGAGTTTGGCGTGCTAATTGTGGCACTTTCTTGTCTGTCAAGTGTGATTTCTCATTTGATTGCACCACATCTAAGAGGGGCGGGTTGTCCTTGGAGAAGAGGACCAGGCTCGGGAGAGAGGACTAGGGAGAGAGAGATTATTTTCTAATTTCTGATACCTATTTAAGGATTCCTTAATTAAAAATCTCTTTTTTCCTCCATGACGATGCATTACTTCTGTCTTTTGATATACTAATAAACAGGGGTCGTTTCGTAGAAAAAGAGGTGCAGGAGCTCATTAGCATAACTTATTTGCATATGCCACACCCCCGGCATCAGATGGAACGCGGTTGAAACCCTGTCCCCTTCCACGCTGCAGGGCGCTCGGGCAAGCCGGCTCCTTAGATGGAAGGGGAGGGGATTTAAACCCCGTCCACTTCCATGGCTTGCCTGCACGCCCCGCGGCTTGGATGGAAGGGGATGGGGTTTAAACCCAATCCCGTTCCAAGGCTTGCCCACGCGCTCCGCGGCTGCAGCGCAGGCGGGCAAGCCGGCACTCAGATGGGCTGCTGGGAGCCGGGGACGGCGGTTGGTTATGTGCCCACCCCCGGTCTCCTCACTCCCGGAGCACCGCTCCTGTGCGCTCCGGCCCCAACCGACCCCTGCTAATAAAGCCTATTTCAGTGTGATCCTTCCCCCCTTTTCAGTCTTTCAATGATTTCTGACAATCCTGAGGGCCCTGCTAGTTTCCTGTTTGCTTGTGAAGTAGTGCTGTGTCCGCACTCACAATCATCTCTTTGTTTTGTAAATTGTGGGCATGGTTGGGGATTCTTAAACGCTCCCTATCCAGACACCTTTATTCTCTTCCTCTGTGCAGCATATTGGGCATAAATTGGGGACAGGGTAAAAGCTGTAACAGGCATTAAATAAACAGTATCACCACCACCCAACCCACATGGGGAGAACAGGCATTAAATAAACAGTAGTATCACCACCACCCAACCCACATGGGGATGCATTACAGACACTCAAGAACAATATTTTAGTAATGAGGACCTAACAAAATGACTGATGTGCAAGTGGGGGATCTGCAAAAAAACTTGGGAAGCCCTTCCACTGCCAGTCCCTGTGCTGTGTAGCCTCCAGCCAGTTGACCCCCATTAGCTTGAGGCCATGATTTAAGCCCCAAGCTACATCCAGACAGTTTGGGGGGCTTGGAATTTAAGCATGCCCGGGGCATTTTCAGCCCTTACCCACTGCAGAAGACCCTGCTGCCTGCCATTCCTACCCAATCTTCTGTTGTCTTCTAATCTTGTAATCTGGCCAACTGTCCTTTCCATATCACTTCCTTAGGTCATCCCTACCTTTTCATGGGGATCTTCAGGTGCTAGGAACACAAAATTTCAGACTGTGGAAACATTGAGCAAGTGGAAACATCGATAGCTAATTTGAATGGATTGTAACCCCCATTTTTGGGATGGAAGGCGGCATGATATAGCGATGGCAAGCCATCTCTGCTCCTCACTTGCTTTGAAAGAGCCTTGCTGGCATCTCTATGTTGGCTGTGCTGTGACGCACAACTCCAATTTTTAATTGCACTTTTCAGATTTTCCCACAAACTTGGGTATCCATCATATTTGTAGAAACATATCTCCTCTCTCTTAGTGGCTCCTAGCTCTGCCTAGGGGTGTTGCAGACCTCCATGCTACATAAAGCTTCAGTTGCCCATTTCCTCTACTAAAGGGACAAGACATTTTCTCCAGACCTGTTGGTAACCCTAGCTCCAAGCCACTTTATCCTATAAATTGAGTGAACTCCCAGACAGTAGAATAATATTCACAGCCGAGGAAAAGGGGAAAAAATGGGTAGAGATGCCATGAAATGCAAGAGATAGAGTTTGTGGCAGTTCTATGCAACATTCAGAATTGTACAGGATAATCACAATGATCACTGACAACAAACTTATATTAAGCAATTTTATACCTAGAGTAGGTAAGAAAATGTCAACTTTATTTAAACTCTTAGTATGAACTCTTGGAAAAATCTGTCCCAGCAATTTCTCTTGATTCTCCATTTGAAGTTCCTTAAGGTTATGCTTCAATAAATCTATTACCACAGCAGTCTTTTTTGCTGTAACAGACTAGAGTGGCCATCCAACTTCTTAAGAACTATGTATTTTGATCATGCTATAATAAGAATATTATAGTTGAGCAGTTCTGAAAAAGGAGTTCTCAAAGCCTTTATACATACAAACATTTTTACCAATATCTTTTAGGAAACATGAATAATATACCAAAAAAAAGCCCCAAAAGTAACAATCTGTTTGAAACGACAAAAACAAAATCCTAGTTATACCAAATTATTGTTTTAGAATACTGTTCTAAGTATTGAAAACTAATATTTTCACATTGTCTAATATCATCTAAAACTAAGTAATATCAACTCTAGCTTTAAAAGTTTCAAAGAACACATCAAGGGAAATGTTATTGCTGGCCATGGATTATGCATTTCTGACTGCTCCAAAAAGAGCCTATTGCTTGGAACTCTGGATATTTAAATACACCACAAGGAATTTGAGTTATCTCAAAGCAAGACAGATGGTTACAGTCCTGACATTCCCTGACAAAGAACCACTGTGTTCTTTTTGGGCTTCTTAGACAAGTTACCCATCAAGCACAAAGACCAAGATGAAGAGTAGTACTGTTGTACTGCTGAAGTTAGAAATTCACTAGTGGATAGAGACCCTTTTGGTGCACTTCTGGAAATAGGTGCTTTGAAATTGCTTTTGACTTTCTGCTTTCTTTCTTTCTTTGTTCTCTGATGGTTTCTCTGCATAAAACTTGGCGAAGAAGTGGTTTCTGTCCAAGAAGTTCAGTATCAATCAATCAATGTATTTATTCAGCCAACGGCCAGTACAAATCTCTACAATAAAATCATTGGAAAATAAAATTGGTCCAACTAATTACCAATAGTTGGAAATCTCTAAAATTTAAAATACGTACATAAAATTTCATGAAGAATTCTACACACTGCTGATAATTTTTAGTGCAGCTAATAGTGACCTGTTGATTAGCACCCATTAAAAGCTTTTTTAAGATATCAACATCAGAACATTCTAGATAATTATTAATTAGAGAGGAAATTGTATTTAACTGAAATTCCTCATAAAAGGACAGTAAAACAGTACACGTTCAATTAATTCCACCTCTTCGGTGCCACATAGGTTCTCTCCTTCATGGGAGTCTTTTTGTGTATCCCTTGTAAAACTGTAGAGGCGGAAGACTCACCATCTCACCAAAGCTCTCCATTGACTGGGTACCTCCAGGACAGAGAGATAAGATTCTGGAGAAACAACATATTTAAGCTTCTCTGGAGTCAAGAAGTTTGGGACGTTTTTAATATCTCTTTAGTAGTTCAGTAGCGATCCATTGCCGTACAGGAACCATGTCTACTGGGAATGGGACTGCTGACCCACTGTACAATATGTGTGCAGACAGACACACAAACATTCTATTGCTGAATGAATCCTTCTGGACTGGTATGTCGACTGGTGCGTGAATAATCCATTCCGACCAATTAATTTGTGACATTGTCTGCATCTCCATAAATGTTTGCAGCATGTCAGTATAATCAGTGGAAAGGCCTTGGTTTGGAATCAAGATAGAGAATAATCTTCCACTTAAAGAAGACCATGATCAGTATCCAGTGAGAATTCTGTACATTTGTGGGAATGAGTTAGGTGTCCTTCACCATAACATGAGAATTTATGGCAAAGTTATGCACATTTGTTATATATCCATGCAGTTCCATGGAGCACATGATAAATGGGCTGAATATACTCACATTGACATTCATGGTGGTAACTGTTGCCAGGGTAGCGCTAGTAAGTAGGAAGCCCTCAATGACAGTGTGAACTAGCCAGTTATTATTCAAGAGAGGCTTCATGTCCTTTGCATTGATGTAGACTCTTTGTATATACATGGTTCTCATGTGTGGCTAACCTCTTACAGAGTCCCATGGAACACACTGGCTTATTTGCACTTCTTGATTTGCTTTTTGAGGGGTACTCGGAAAATGTGGGGGTTCCAGTTTGAGAGCCAAGGAGGAGATTTCTTTTTCTTTGCCTGCCACTTTATTTTCACATGTCGCCTTTTCCTTAGGTATGACATCAGTTTTACCATAACCACTCATGAGAATGGAATCTGATGCCGCCAGTATGGTTAGCTCATCCTTTTGCCTTGGTTGCTTTCTTCCTGATTTTCCTTTCCTTGCACTCATCCTGAGTTTCTTCAAAGAGCACATCACCTTTGTTGGATGTAGACTTTTTCTTATACACATCTGTGCTGCTATTATATGGTAGCATGTTCTGGAACTATTGTAAGTACATGTTTCTGTTGGAAATAATTTTACCACATATTTCTTGTCACATAATCCTCTGACAATGAAGCAGCCAGATTGTGCTTGCAAAAATATGCAATGTTGACTTACCGTTATACGAGCTAGACCTTCCATGATCTTTGATTTACGGTCAGCTGTTTATACTTCAGGTTTTTCTTGATATGTCTGTGTCTTTCCTTGCTTTATAACTTGTACAATGTCATCTGAAGGAATATAGTCTGCTGTAAACTGTATGTCATCAGGACTTAACTTTCTGCTGGTAAATTCCACTGATAGGTGGTAATTGCCACTATCACATAGTCCTCTCAAATTTCCTTCAGGTAGTAAGTCTGAAGAAAGTAAAAAGCCAGAATCCATATTTTGTTCTTATTGCACAGCCTCTTGAACCCAGCATTTATGCTTTCAGAGATGTTTGTTGTGATGCTGCTAGTTTCCTCTTTTTTCCAATAGCCATCTGCCACTGTTTGTCAAAAGAACTTTTTGCAACTTCTGCTCAAAGTAACACAGAAAGCTGGCACTCCACTTGACTTTCAGTTTTCCCAACAGTTCCAGAAACTCCTTTTCACTCTTACAATCCAACAGGTGAAGAATGTTGTTAGAGTAAACCTTCCTATCAGATTTTCCACCTTTGTGTGCTGAAATCCAGAATTCCACATCTTTTATAATATGTTTCCAGCAAAGGACATGCGTACAGTGTGGAATACCCCTTTCTATGCCTTGCATAATAAGCTGCTTCTCTGTCTGTGACTATCACTGTAGAATCATTGTTTATCTGTGCATGAGACTTTTTTTTGCATTTAGAGGGAAACACGTGCCTCAGATAAACAATGATTCTACAGTGATAGCCATGGACAGAGAAGCAGCTTGTCATGGATCAAAATAGCCAGTGGTATTGCTGGCTTCTCCTCAAAAATGTACACTGGAAAACGGGGGTGGGGGGGATGGGACAGGGACCGGACACAGAGAAATCTCTGAGCTGAAACGTAGTGTTGTAAGAAAGAAGAGTAGTTTTATTTTGTGCTGCCACTTCTTCAAATATGCGAATAATTTCTGTGGGTGCCAAAATTATGCAGATTTCTGGGATTAGTGAGTTTAGACATATAAACTCTTCCAGGGCATAGTGAAGCTCATACACAGCCTACATATCATCACTTGCTCTCCATTTATCAGTCTCTGGAAGTACATCTTTTATATTAAAGGTTGTCCTCTTGGCAAAAGATGCCTTCCTTTTTGGACCCATTGAAACTGGTCACACTTCCAATGATCCTCCAAGTATCCTTCAACACTGTTATAGAAACAGCTGTCCACGTTTTGGATTACAAGCAGAAAGAGTTGATACTTTACTCACATCAGTGTTTCTTATTATTTCTGCTGCTTCCTGCAGTGAGAGTTGCTCAAACATCATCATATGTATTATACGAGTTGTTCAGAAAATCTGCCTCACTTTCCCTACTTCAAGTAATACAGAAGAATAGTACAAATTTGTCGCCTCTTAGCCAGGTGCACAGAGTGATTTCTGCTCACACGGGTGTGATCTCTTTGCATAGGAAAGGACTCTCTCTGCTAGAAACAGCAGGCATTTTAGCGCCCTCTATAGGAGAAGAATGTACAGGGTCATCCTTTCACTGAAAAGTATTTACGGTGGCATTTACTTGCATCTTATAAAAACCTTGACCGGAGAAAAAAATCCACAGCTTCCTCTAGTTTGCAGTCCTTTGCCTCTGAGGGACAGAAAGAGAGTGTCTAAGTCCCTGTTCATTCAAGTGTCTTCAAGTTTTGCAGATGGGGGGAGGTCGCTTGTTTAAAAAATAGTTACCAGAGTAAAGAATAGTTATCTGAGTCACCTATCTATCATGCACCATTATTTCAGGTATTGTATAGAATTGTTTCCACTGTTTTGAAAAGAGATGTTAAAAGAACAGGCACCTCTTGTAAAAAGAATGCAAGTTGTATATAAGCTGCAGGTTTTTTACACAGTGTTCTAAGAAGTGTGTCCACACCATGGCTGCCTCTAGCACTCTCCACAGAATGTGATAACTCACAAAGATGTGCACTTCAGGGGGCTTAAAATGTCATATTCATTTGCTCCTTCCAAGGATATAAAGATCGACCATTGACTGAATAGCCTGTAATTCACCTTGAATCCCAAGGAGAAAGGTAGACTATAAATTAAGCTGGTAATAATAGTAAAATTCTTGATATGTGAAACAGTGAGGATGGAACCTTTTCCTTCTACAAGCAATTTATAACTCAACATTTGCAATTATTAGAATGCCTTTTTATATCGGCATGCTAACCATGGGCAACCTAATGTTGCATTAAGGACTGTATAATAGAGCCCAGCTGTTTTTTAGAAAACTAACTTCATCGGTGGTTTGTCTGTGTATGTGCACACGCATACATGTGCACATGATTTAACACTTTTGACTACTAGTTATCTCATTGGACTCAAAATTGCTTCCCTCCATAAGAAGCCGTCTCCCTCCCATTGGGGTGCCAGATATGCATCCAGAACCTCACAGGGAGCATTTTAAAGGGGATGATTGTGAGCAGAAAATGGACCAGCAAAGGATTTATTATGTATGATAGTGTATAATGTGCCATTTGCTCCTAAAGAATCTTTAAAGTTTACTCTGTATCTGCTTTTGGATTTATATAGGGAAAAGGGAAATCAGTTAGTTCATTGCAAGCAAGGAATAATTTCCTCAGATATTTTTACTTGGGTTCATATTGATTCAGGTGACAGCTGGATCCGTGTTAGGTATCAAAAGGCTCTTTGCACAGTAGCTTGAACAGATAAATAAGATGGGATGTAGCAATATTAACAGTTGTCATTGTACCTGGACAGATTCTTTAGCAGTAGGACTTGCTATGAATAGCAGATGAATAGGTTGTTTATTTAGACAATTTAGATGGTACCTCTCCAGTGTCTTGCTCAAGGCTTTAATTTGCTCGTTTATTTGGCTACCCTTTTCACTGACCCCAAGTTTTATCATTCACAATTTGTGTTTGTTACATAGGGTATTAACTTTTATGATATGGTGTTCGTAACTGCTCCTGTATAGTGATGAGGAATATAGAAACCTTTCTGTATTCTCTAGGTGGATTCTCACTATTGTCCCAGTTGCTTGGAAAATATGCCATCAGCTGAAGCCAAGCTGAAGAAAAACAGGTAAGACTACCTGCTGATGACTCGATTTTTGTCAAATCTTTACTTTTTTTTATACCCACCAGTTTGGTGTAGTGGTTAACAGTGTGGACTCCAATCTGGGAGAACTGAATTTGATTCTCCACTCTTCCACATGCAGCTGCTGGTGTGACCTCGGATCAGTCATAAGTTCTTTCTGAGCTGTTCTCTCAAGGGCAGCTCTCGAGAGAACTCTCTCAGCCCCACCTACCTCACAGGGTGTCTGTTATGGGGAGGGGGAGGGAAAGGGATTGTAAACTGTTCTGAGACTCCTTTGGGTAGTGAAGGGCAGGGTATAAATCCAGTCTCTTCTTCCTGCTCTTCTTCAATATGCTATGTATTTATTTGCTTGGATCCCAGTATTTAGTAAGAATAAGAATAATTTTTAAAACAATTCCTGTCACGTGGTTTCTACTTATAATGTGATTTCACTGGGATGAGATTATGCTTCTCTGTTTTTGATATTAGAGCGCCAGTATGATGTAATGGTTAGAGCTTCAGATTTAGATTTGAGATACTCAGGTTTGAATCCACACACTGCCACAAAAGCTTATTGGGTGACTTTGGGCCATGCATTCTCTGCCTAACCTTCCTCACATAGTTGTTGTTTTGAGGATGGAATGGAGGAGAAGAGAATGAAGTAAGCCGCTTTGGGTTCCCATGGTTGGGGGGGGGGAGAAGGAGGTAAATAAATAAATTATACTGAATTTTAATTCAGTGTACTTATTGCAACCTGCTTTGGACAGTTGTTACACATTTTGCTGCTCATGCTTGGGTGTAAGGCTGTTTACCTCTTGTGTTGTAATGAGTTGCATCAAATACATCAAGAATGTGAAAAGCACCCTGTAGAATCCATTTAACATCGCTTGACAGTGCAGAATTTTGAGCTGATGTCTTTTCTTTAGGTGTGCTAACTGTTTTGACTGCCCATGCTGCATGCATACCCTCTCCTCCAGAGCAACAAGCAAAAAAACTCCGCTCCCTGATGATCCAGCTAAGACTACAATGAAGAAAGCTTATTATCTGGCCTGTGGCTTTTGCCGCTGGACATCAAGAGATGTTGGCATGGCAGATAAATCAGTTGGTGAGTGACATAGTTTTAAGACACGAGTTGGAAGAACTGTTCCCTGGCACGTTGCCCACATACTTGACATTAGAACTTGGAGTTGCAAAGTGTTAAACTGCTTTTTGTTATGACAGTTGGGAACTAGAAAATATGAAAGACAAGTGGGAATCTGTGATACTTTAACTGGTGATAACAATCCACTTAGCAGCAACCCAGAGATCCCACTTTGCCTCCCAAAGATTTGATGGTGGTAGGGAAGAATTGGGCTCTGTGGACATGGGCTGATTTTAGGTTACTGCACTCTTGGGATAGAGAGAATGATCTGTTAGCTCCAAACGTGCGGAACTCTGTGTGCACTGAGTAGCCTCCCAAAACTTTGTCTTTTGTCTGATATCTTTAGCATCAAGGTTAGAGTAGCAATAGCATTATTGTAGTAAAAGAGCTGTAGCATTATTGTAGTAAAAGAGCTGTAGCATTATCCTCTGGTGGGACTGTTACATTTGATTTACTTTAATTAGCCAGGATTTTGTTTGTTTTGTTATACTGCAGCCAGTGGAGGTTGGCAGGAGCCAGAGAATCCTCATACTCAGAAGGTAAGTAAAAAGAAATGCATATACTTTAACAGGATGTCCTAAGAAAAAATTCCTACTGGATTGGCTTTCGCTTATGATCTCACTGAAGGGGGGGAAATGACCATACTGCCTATATTCAAGAGCCTGAGTCTTGTATAATAGGGGCTGTGGCTCAGGCATGACCTTCCACCACAACTAGTATAACCCTGGGCCTGGAGACCAAAGTGCCACAGGGAAGAGGCACCAAGTAGTAGAGGGATTTTCCACCAGTAAGTTACTCTTTAGATTCTGGCTTGCATCCAGACTGGTGTTCCCATGGGTATGATGATTTCCACTAACCTTGTGTGATCCCCCCCCCTTCCTGTCACAGCCCAAAATGCCCTTAGAAATGGGCAGCAAGGACCAAGATTTTTTTGGGGGGGATTTCTCGGCTTCCATGAGGGGAAGATGAGAAAGTGGTGATGCACAGGTGGAAATCTTTGCACTCCTGGAAGTGCTAGTGCAGATCCAAGCTTTTGCCACCTGCCCTGGTTTTATACTCAGTATGGGGATCGGCACAGTCCTGATCCACTTTCACGAGTGAGATTACATAGACCATGGTCCCTTCCCAGGTCCACTGTACTTCTCTACCTGTAGCCTGTCCAACAGAGATGCAGTCAGTGTTCACATACATTATGCAACTAGTTCTTTGAGTACGTGGCTCCTATTCCTTGCTATGCTGTAAGCTGATAGTGGTTGAGATGCAGGATGCCACTCAAGTCCACATGAGAAAAAGAAATTACATGACTCATGCTGCATTTTTAATTGTTTTGCTCACTGGCTGTTGCCCAGAAAAAAGAGTCCAGGTGTGCAGCTCTTAAGATGAGCATAGCACTCGTAGGCCAGCTTGGCCACTTGTTAGTAAAGCTAGGGATTTTTCTCCAGAACAGCACAGTTGTAGGGGGACAGTGCAGTTCGCTGTCAATGTTTGGTCAATTGGCCTGTGTTTCTAGGCATGATTTTGGGCACCAAGAAAGAAGAGAAGGGGAAAAGCTGGAGAGAGGATCACAAAATAGCCAACAGTAGCTTTTACTAAAGGAAAATTGGTAGTATGAATGAAAAGTCACATGGAGATTCCCTGCATTCCTTTTTCTTCAATCCTCCTGTGAGGTCATTCCTGTAGTTATGGGATCTGTGTTAAGGAACAGCTGGAATGAGGAGGGACACAGAGTGAAATGCATTTCTACATATCTCAGCAGACCTGTGCTTGGGGAAGGAGGAGCGATTTCACTCCTTTGTCCTTTTTCACTCCCTTCCACTCACCCCTAGATGTTCCTCTGCATGGGTCCTGTAACCGCAAGAATTATCTTTCTGGCGTTTGGAAATGGGTTTCAGGAACAGGAATACACAGGAAAACTCTGCATTCTGTGCATGGAGTGGTAGCGTACACACATTATTTGGGTATAATGGCACATTTCAGCTTTTTAAAGAAATGATAATGAACGAAACAATGGGACAGTAGCCAGGAACAGAAATATGATGTTTTTCTTATGATCAGTGGTGGGAAGGCTTGTAGCTTTATAATAAGGTCCATCAGTGGACAGTGTCACTTTTCAGAGTGAATGAAGTAAAATCCCTGTTTTGTCATGAGTAGCATTTCATCCAGTCCATTGTTTAACGTGACATTTATTCCTACACAGATCAATAAATTGGTTGAGTACTATCAACAGCTGGCTCAGAAGGAGAAGATGGAAAGAGATCGAAAAAAGCTGGTTCGGCGCCGGCCCTATATGCCACTGGCTTTTTCGGTGAGCTCGACAAGAGTACCTTACTTTGGAACTTCCAGTGTGAAAATCTAACCATGTTTTTTTTAAACAGCAGAAGTAGAACTACTGTTTTAGTAGTGACTTCCTGGAAAAGGAGCCAGGCAAATTTATACACAGTTGATCTCAAGAGCTCACTATTTTATCAGATCAGTAATCTTCTGTGGTCATGCTTCAAATACTAACCAATTGAATGCTTCAAAAATTAAGGATACAGTCCACCCCTGAAATGCAGGCACCTACAGTAACTTTGCCTTCATATGACATTGTTAAGAAGAGAATGAGTTAAAGCTTGGGTTCGAAACCAGAAATACTCCAGGTACACCTACTTACAGTTCTGTAATCCTGTCTGAACTGCTGGCTCAAAGCCACTACAAACTTGGTATATGTGAGAAATCATTTTGACTACATATTTCATTCTGATTTTTAGTGGTGCCTGCCGCGCATCCTGTGTTGGTGCCAAGGGAGAGGCCTAATTTTGCTTAGCTTGAACACGTTTGCATATGCTTGCTTCCTCTTGAATAACTGTATAACCTGCTTGCTCTATGCATTTTCTTTTATCCTTATTGCTGCATTTTTCTTGTCTCCGTTGCTACCTGCTGCTATTTTGGGGGCTGTCCTCAGCAACACACTATACATGTAGTGGTAAGTTTCTTCAGTTTCTGATAGCTTTAAAGCCTTTAAATCCACTTGCATTCTACTGGTGTATTCTACCCTATCTAGACTTCTGGTGTTGGGTAAGCCTACAATAATGCACTTGAAATCCAGTTTGAATACAGCATTGCTGAGTTGGGGGTGGAACCTGAGCCAGGTTGTGTGGTGTCACTTTTTAATCATATAAAGATACGATCACTCCTCAGAGTGTTGTAAAAAGAGAATAATGGAGACCTGACTTGCTGGTTAATATGAGGATAAACAAGGAACATGTCTCAAGAAGCTGTGGCCATTAAAACTCATTCACTTGTTAATAACATAACTTGGGATTTGATAGGCTTAAATCAAATTTCATAGATTTAAATCATCTATGAGATAAGCATTCTGCCCTTACTTCAGATATAACCACTTGCTATTGAGCAACTCACCTGATGACAGCTAACTTGAGGGCAAATAGTTAGAAATCCTGTAAATATCATAGCTGTATTTCATTGTCTTTTGTATTTAATTGCAGTAGAAAATATTTTGGTCCATAAAAGCTCTTCAATATCTGAGCAGTTATGTTTTGAATGAATTAGATTAGCTATTGGTTAGGTAGGAATTAGATAGGAGTTAAACAAAAAAGGCTACATAGCACGCAGCTTCCCAGCTTCGGTGTCCCGGTTTAATTTTACTAACCAAACTAACAGGAAACGCTTTGAGCAGAGAGAAACCATATAAGTTTTGCTATTCTTTGTGTTGTCCCGTTACAGGTTGAAAAGTATGTTGAAAACTTTAAGGACTGGTTTCAGCCGGCCCCAGGCTTGACTTGTCCCAAATTGTTTTTTTTGTAGGACAAATATGGCCTTGGCACCAGGCTGCAGCGTCAGAGGCCCGGAGCACCAATCAGTGCTCTTGCTGGACTCTCGTGAGTATGAGGGCTTCATATGTGGTTGGTTGGGGTGAAAGGTGGATAGGCAGATGGTCACCTATGGTGAGTGTAATTTGTCTCCAGCTTGCCAGGGCTGATTGCACTTCTGCCTTTAGAAGTGTCATGCCCTTTTAAAAGCAAAGAAAAAACTTCGTACGTGCTAAGTTAAGCAATATGAGCTATCAGTACTCAAGCTGAAAGGCTAAGCTAGTACTCTCACTTTCTGGTTTCTGAAATCTCCTCCTTTGTTTGGAACCAGCAGGGCTGCCCCAGATGCCTTTCCCTTTGTGCCTGAGAATCCCATAACATTCCGAATGGGATTGATTATCTGTGCTAGTTTAATACTGAGGATTTAACAGTCCTTATGTTGTTTCCATACCCTAAGGCTGAATGGTTCAGAGTATATTCTCTGTTTGCAGTTACCGATCGTGTCTTTTGTTCATGAGGATGCTTACTTGAAATAAATCCAAGTGCATTCACTGGAGCTTACCCCAGATGACTATGCATAGGATTGCAGGCATATTTGACTTAAATGCACCTTAACTCAAATGTGAGTTTTACTGGAAATGCTGGGACTGGCCAAGCCGCATGTTCCACACAAATATATGTAAATACAGCCTAAGGGCCCCATTCTTGTTTTAAAAGATGTTTTATGATGGTATGAGTGTTTGCTAAATGTGTACGGGGGCGCGGGGGCTAGAAGACGGATAGAAGATATCTGCTTACTGCAACCATGTTCATTTCCCTGTAGGGTGGGACATTGTTTGATATACTGATGAAATTAGATCAGGAAAAATGCCCCACTCCCTGCTATCGGTTGTGTTTTTTTGGGAATTCACATATATAAGGGTGGAAAGGATATGTTCTGGGCTGCTATTTTGCAGATTTATTTAACAATGTTCTCCCATAGAAAGCAGCATTATATGAAAATCTTTTGGGGAATGCTTTAAATTAAATTTCAGTGTTAACTTTATTTCAATGAAATGAATATAGTCAATTCATAATACTGTTTTAGATATTGTAACAATATCTGAATATAAAACAATAGCAAGTTCTGAATTATTCTATGATATTTTACCTTTTCGGTAGGACCGGTAAACTTTTTACAAACCCACTGAGTATAGTAAGCATACTTTGTATTTATTTGTTTTCTTTTTGTCTCAGGCTGAAAGAAGGAGAGGACCAGAAGGAGATAAAAATTGAACCGGCCCAGGCTGTGGAGGAAGTGGAACCTCTGCCTGAGGATTATTATACAAGACCAATCAATCTAACAGAAGGTAATAGGCTAGCATATCTCTTGTGTTCTTGTGCCCAAACTGGTGGATTGGGCTGATGGTCACTTTTCATTGTTGCTTGAAACTGTTGACGAAGGATTTGAACATTTTGTGTTGTGGACAGTGACAACCCTGCGGCAGCGCCTCCTGCAGCCAGACTTCCAACCCATCTGTGCTTCTCAGCTTTACCCGCGTCATAAGCACCTGCTGATCAAACGCTCATTACGGTGCAGGGTATGTAGTTACAGATGTGGGAAGCATTTGGTACTTCTATCCTACCCTTGTTTAGAAAGCAGAGTGACTAACATGGGGCTCCCTGTGGTTTTGATTACTGGTCATGTATTTTGAGTTCTGAACTATGTAATCTTGAGCAAGCTGCCCCCTTTCTTCATGGTCCAGAGGAATAGCTTGGATCCATTTCCCAAGGGAATTGAGATTTTTTTTAAAGCAATGTCTGCAGAATCCCAGTGTAGAAAGCTAAATGTTCTGAGCAATTTTGTTTAGCAGTTGCAGTCAACAGAAGAAGCAATTAATATTTCATTTTGGATGAAGTTGTAATAAGTTTGAAGCCTGCAAAGAACTGCAGAACCTTGACCATGCCAGTGAGAGGTTATCTTTCTGGCAAGCAAATATCTGAATTAAACGTTGAGATTTCATTTTATTACTATTTTCCATGGTTGAACATGAGAGTAGCTGAGTGGTGGCATTTATAGTTTTGACTATGGTGTGGTATTTTGGCCACATAGACTTTATGTTTTTCTTTTCTAGAAATGTGAACACAATTTGAGTAAACCAGAGTTCAATCCTACATCCATTAAATTCAAAATCCAGCTAGTAGCTGTGTAAGTATTATGGAAATGGGTGGGGGCAAGAATGTTACAAACTTTAGGCCTTGTTCTCCCTGGGCTGCACCATCTCAGATGACAGCTGAAGCCAGGCGTGGATTGAAGGCAGGGACTAGAGCTCTCCTTCCTGCCATCTAATGGTTCTGTGTGTAGGAATGTTAGAGGAATGGAGAAGGGGACTCTCCCCACTCCCCAACACACACACCACCAGCCGTCTTAAATGGCCCAGCTCAGTCAAAGGCTTTTGGTGCTTTTGGGAAGCCCAACTGGGCTTTAAATTCTAACGTTAAAATGTCATGTTAAGCTGTCTGGTGAATTAACTTTTGCGAAAACTGTGCCAGGGTGGGAAGCCCAACTGGTCTTTAAATTCTAACTTTGAAATGTCATGTTAAGCTGTCTGGTGAATTACTGCCCCTAGCTAAATGTGGTATAAAGTACAATGTGCTTCTTTGAGAAGCAGATGAAGCTCTGCATATTTATTGAACTAGTCCCTTTCAAGAAAGTGGGTGTGTGCCTGCTTATCTCATTCCAAATTCTCTTGTGAGGAATGTAGGCATGTTAACATGTACGTGACATTGCATATTTGCATTTGGTCTCTAAATGTCAAACTGGAGGTCTTACCTTTTTTAAACTAAGCTATTTTGCGTTTATAACAGACAGGTATTTTTGCCCCTTGTTAGAATTTGCCACCTTGAGAGCACAGTTTAAGTCAAAGGTTGGCGTAGACATGTAAAAATAAATAAAAGTGAAAGTGGAGTCAGAATACGAGGGACAAGAAACTCATTCTGCTTACTTCCCCCCACCCCTTTTTTGTATTGTAGCAACTACATCCCTGAAGTGAGAATCATGTCTATTCCCAATCTGCGCTACATGAAGGTTAGTTCTTATAATTGCCTTCCCTTCCTCTCCCTGCAACAGACACCCTGTGAGGTAGGTGGGGCTGAGAGAGTTCTGAGAGAACTGTGACTAGCCCAAGGTCACCCAGTTGGCTTCATGTGGAGGAGGAGTGGGGAATCAAACCCCGTTCTCCAGATTAGAGTCCGCCACTCTTAACCACTACACCAAGCTGGCTCTCAACTAGGACTCAGTTTAAGAAATCACATCAAACCGTGGTTTACAATACCCATAGTTTAGACTTCAGACAATAGCTTGGGCATCATACACAGCCATGGCTTGTTTTAACTGTGGTTGGTTTATGAAACCAGGATTCAGTTCACAGACTACTCAATCTTAGTTTGCTTTGACAAAATCCTAGTATCAGCGTTTTATCTCTCTTTCCTGTGCCTGCAACTGCTGTCCTGGCTTGCACTGCCGAACCAGGTTAAAGAGAAGCGTTGTTGTGCCAGCAAGTATTGGCTGGCATTACCGTAAAGCCATGGTTCATGTCACCTTTCCAGTCAAACTGTATGACTTCTGCCATTAATTCTTCCATTGCATCAAATCAGAAGGACATCCTGATCATACTGTGCACCATACATTCACTCACCAAGACATCCAAGGCTTCAGCAGAAGACTTCCCACTCTGTGCATGTGCACACACACATGAACACACAGAGCAGACTTATTCTGCCACTGGAGCTTGCCTTGCATGCTGGGGGCAGCTAGGAAGATGAGCGAGGAGAGCGCACACTTCCCAGACTCTGGTGACAGGGACATGGGTGATGGGGAGGAGGTGTGCACCTTCCAAATTTGTGCCTGTGTCAGTCCAGCTGCCTCCAGGGCTTGCACTCTGCCGGTATAAGCAGGGGGATGGAAAAGTACATGCTTCTCCAAGCTGCCCTGCCCTATTATGAGTAGGAGAGATGAGTCTTGGTGGAATTGGCAGCACTGCTGGAGTTCATCTTGCGCCATAGTGGCAGTGAGATAGGTCTGGGATGATGGTCATCTTCCAGACCAGGCCTGTCACTAGCTTGCTTGGGGCAGTGAAATGCATTGAACTGACAAATCATAGCTGCCCCATGGGCTGCTTTGCTTGTTTAACAACCTGTTTAACAGCATTTATGGGCGTTTAAGAGGAGGAAGTTAGCAGCTGTGGTCTTGCAAATAGTAGCAAGAAGCAGTGAAAGGTGAGCGGTTTTGATATGGAGAATAACTTTGTCTACTGTGTACATGTCTTCCTAGGAGAGTCAGGTTCTTCTGACTCTAACTAACCCAGTGGAAAACCTTACCC